ACCTCCAGCCCTGGAGTGAACAACTTTCAGGTCCTGGAGACGGTGTACTCCCCTTGCAAGTCTCCTTGCTGGTGACCTTTCAGGGCTGCTATATTGACAAATGTCAGCTGCACTTTAGGACTTGTGGGAAGATCACACTTCTGGAAAATCAGACAAGCTTTATTTATCTAAAGGAGACAGAAGAAAGCACACACATGGGGCAAGGATACACAGCAGAGAGACCAGCAACTTCACCCCAAATAGCGTTGTAGCTTCCTGGGCACTACATCTTGCTGGGCAGTGTCAATGAAAATAATCAATAAACAATAAGAATGGAGGAGATTAGCCTGGAAGGATTAGCCTGGAAGCCTGCTTCCCAGATTATTCTGAGAAACTGCTCCAGAGAAGCATGGTTTCCAGCACAGTTTTATATCTTATCAGAACAAAGAATATTAAAATCAGAGAAACGTTTCTTCACAGTTTAAAACAATGACAACAAAACCAGTCCAGCATGTACACATACCGCATGTACAGTGTGGCCTTGGCACCTGGGAAGGGTGTCTTATCATCAAAGGAGGACCAGCTTGGTGTCCCAGGAAAAGGGGTATTTAATCTTTATTTTTAACATGGGCATTCTTTACTTCTGGTCACCGTGCCCTTTACTTTAATAATTAAAGCAGATGTACAAGGCATGTTTGATAGGCCACAAACAGGCTATTTTAGTTAACATAAAATTCAAGTTAACTCATGTACAAGCCAGAATGATTTCCCTGTATCTCCACATGTGTAATTTTCTTTTATCAGCATTAAGCCCTCCATAGGCTATATAGGAGTGGGGTCCATATCAGATTTTCTTGCACCAAAACTCCTTTTTTTCTTGGGTTCACTTCTGTTTGCTGACCTGTGTGGCTTAGGCTCTGGAAAACACAGTATCTGAGGCAATTATACCACTCCATGTTCTAGGAGCTGCTTTTAATTATATATTGATTCATATTACTATCTCAACAATCCTTTGAGTAAGTATTAGCATCATTCTTACTTTACAAATGAGAAAACTGAACGGACACAGGTTAAGTGATCTTCCCAAAGTTGTATGTCTGTTACTGAACACAAGTTCATGTGCCCAACACACACAGCCCAAACAAATCAAAACACTGGAGTTTGGAGCAGACAAAAGTTTATTGCGGGTCGAGCTAAGAGGACAGGGAGCCCATGCCCAAGAAAACCCTGAACTCCTTGAAGGGTTTCAGCTAAGTATTTTTAAAGGCCAGACTGGGGGTGGGGGTCACAGGTTACATGATCAACTTGTGCACAATCTTCTGATTGGTTGATAGTGGGGTAACAGTCAGTCAACACTATCAACCCCTAGGCGCCAGAAGGTCTGGGGGATCACGTGCTCAAGATCACCCAGTAGTTAATTTCTTCCATTTGGTGGTGGTTTTTAGCATCTGAAAAACTCAGGAAATACGCATGAGATACTGTATCTGGGGACTTCAGAGAGAAGCTACAGCAGAGGATATGGGGGAGGGGGTCTGACCCAGAAAGGCCCCACAGGGTCCTGCTCAGTTCCATGTCTAGTGAGTGGCAGAACCTTGATCTGAACCTTAAGAGGGCAAAGGAATACCCTGTACCCCACACTGCAAGAACTAACCACCTTGTCCTTTCTCATTCATACTCACTCGGATAGGATTCCCTTCTTTTCTCTGTTGACTTTAAAAATAAAAGTTATTTTACCAGCAGAAATGGGTTTATTTGGGAACAGCAGAGGAACTGTAACAGAGAAGAACAAACCTGACTCCACACTGGGTCTATTCTTTTAGCTCCAACTTTTGTGCTCTGTTGCCTGTGCTTAGTCATGCTGGCTCTGCACCTTTGCCTCATCAATCAGTAAAAGAATGTTGCCTATAGTATGAAATATACATGATCACCCTGTTTTTCAAGGCTCTGCCTCCCAGGCTTGACCTTTAAAGCCATAACACTTCTCATTCACATAGAGATAAAAAGTTGCAGAACAGAAAATAACATTTGTCTTATTGGAGGTTTACAGGAACATCCTGACCAAACCAACATGGATAGCTGCAAGAACAGAGGATTATCATATCCCCTCCTGGGTCTGGCCGGCACCAAGAAGTCTGCAGTAACTAGCCACACCCTTTTCCCTTTTAGGATAAGAAAAGTCTGAATTCTAACTTGGATAAGATGGTTCTTTGGGATAGTGTTCCACCATGTTGTCTGTTTGCTGGCTTTCTGAATAAAGTCCCTGTTCCTTGCCCCAACACCTCTTCTTCTTTATTTTATTGTTCTGTCATGGGGTGAGCAGCATAAATTTGGACTCAGTAACCAAATTGCAATTCAGGACAAGCGAGCTATAGCAAAAGCCATAGGCAAGTCCCACAAAGGAGAGTTACTTTACAGAGAAAAAGGAGGAATTTGGGGTGAGTTCTTCTGAAGGAAAGCTGATGATAGTCTCTCATTGGCTAAGTTGCTGGGGTAGTCAATTTCTTAGAGGAGATGCAATGTACAGCTTTTCCTGTTGGGGCCTGTAATTGACAGTTCTTCCTGTTATGGACATGGAGTGGCACTATACTGCCAGAGGGCTCCCCCTTCTGGCCTCCCACGTTCATTTTGGAGACATCTCCCTCGATTAATTTTCACAACTTTCTCCCTATAAAAACCCTCCTACAAAAACAGTTTACTTCCTTTTATTTGAAAAGGTTCCCCTGCATTAACAGATGTTTCCCCTTGTTAGAAATACGTGTTTTCATCCCTGACTTAGACTTACTGAGTCAGCAATTTCCTAGGTGGTGCTGTTCAGTCCCTCTTTAAGAAGAGATTCTGACGCACGTTAAAGACCGTTTTCTCCGTCAGATACGCGAACCTGCCTTGCGAATTCGGT